AGAATACAATCTTCTCAAGTACACATGGAACATTTCCCAAGATAAGACCATGTACTAGGCCATAAAAAAGGGCCTCAGTAAAATTTAAAGGACTGAATAATGCTCATCATGATCTGGGCCTCAATAAAATTTAAAGGACTGAATAATACTCATCATGATCTCCCACACAGTTAATTCAAAATAGATCCAAGACTGAAATGTAAGAGTTAAAACTAGAAAATTCTTAGAAGAAAACACAGGTCTAAATTTCTGTGACCTTGAACTAGGCAATGGTTTCTTAGATATGACAAAGCAAAACAAATAGGCAAAAAAGAGATGAACTGGACTTCATAAAAACTAAAGTTGTTTGTTCTTTGAAGGATATAGGAAAGAGAAAAGACAACTGACAGAATGGGAAAAATATACGCAAATGATATATCTGATACAGGTCTAATATCCAGAGTACATAAAGAATTATTACAATTTACCAAAAAGAGAAATAATCCAATATAAAAATGTCACTGGTGCTAAGCACCTGCCATATTCTTACTGGTCATTTGAGGATCTTCTTTGGAGAAACATCTATTTAAAATTGTATTATTATTGGCAGGGTGTGGTGGCTCAAGCCTGTAATTCCAGAATTTTGAGAGGCCAAGGTGAGAGGATTGCCTGAGCCCAGTCTGGACAACCTGGCGATACCTTGTCTCTACAATAAACCAAAAAATTAGCCGGGCATGGTAGTGCACACCTATAGTTCCAGCTACTTGGAAGGTTGAGGTGGAATGATTGCCTGAGCTCAGCAGGTCGAGGTTGCGGTGGCTGTGAGCGTGCCACTGCACTCCAGCCTAGGCAACAGAGTGAGATTTCAATAAAAAAAAAAAAAAAAAAAGCTGCATTATTTTTCTTTTTATTTGTAAGAGTTCTAGACCTTTATCATATACATGATTTGCAAATAAATCTGCACACATATATCTGCTTTTTTACACTATATGAGAAAAGAATGCAGACAAGAATGTGCTAAACACAAATTTCCCTCCAAGTTCAAGAGTAAATTTAAAAGTACAATCATGCCTCAGTCTACTCTGAACCTTAAAGGTTTCAAATCTATCTGATGAACTAGAAAAGGTCTTAGCATGGAAAGAGAATTCTTTAGAGGTTTTCTCTCTATTGTACAAACTTTTTATAACAGCTTTAATTATTGGTTCTGAACCTTGCCAATAAACGAGGATACAAATTCACAATTAAAAAAAAAAAAATTAATATTCACAATTACCGTAACCTTTAAGTGGTAAGTTGTTGAGGGTGGGTTGGGGGGTGTGGAGGAGGGTGGGAGAATTGGTGCTTGGCAGAATTTCACAAATTAATTATAAAAATGTTTCATAATTGCTACAACATACAGAATATTTGTTAAAGGCTTTATTTCTCCAATCAAAGATGGAGACTGTCCATGTCCCTTGAAATTCTTCATTGTTTTACTAATATATAACAAGTTAATAACAGCAATTTTATCTAAAAATACATTAATCTTTCATAAACATTTTACCTTTCTCTGTAGAAGAAAAATATCAGCTCTTCTCAAATTGAAATAGATTTCTTAAGAGTATAACTTCATTCAAACAGGAAAGGTGACCTTACACTTGAAACTACAAATGTATGTTAACCACTGCTAATGCTCTATTTCTACCAATAATTAAGAGATTTCCAAACCCGAAAAACTCAAGAACAAAGGCACATGACAGCCACATAACTTGTAGGCACCGACTCACTGTTACTGAAGCTGAAATTCTATTAATTTCAATAAAGCTTATAGACATTAATTTCTGACAAACAAGTGGCATTGTGTATAGATATGCTACACAATCATAGTAATCATATTCTGTGCCTCACAATATCATTCTTCTTGCTAGTTTGTGCTGGTTTTAGAACATGGCTGCAAGTTTTTTGACCACCCATCACAAGGGGAAATCTTTGTTCCCACCCCCTGGATCTGGGTGGGCTTACGACTACTTCTGACAGAGAAGGAATGCCACGCGAGTTCAAGACTAGATCATACTAGGCCATGCAGCTTCTGCCTTGTTCTCTGGAACACTGAACCACTATGTAAGAACTATAAATATCTGAGGCTGTCATGCTAGAAAGGCCACTTGTATCCTCTCCAGTGGCATGTCCTAGCCGAGCCCATGCTTCTAGTTATCCCCATCAAGGTGCCAGAAATGTGAACGAAGAAGCAGATTCTCCAGTGCCAACTACTGCAGTCCCTGCCTTTCAGCGCTTCCTGTCAGGTAACATACAGCACAGATAAACCATCCTGCTGCACCTTGCCTAGACTCCTGACTCACAGAATCAACAAGTGTTTGTTTGGAGTGGTAAGTTTCTAGCAGTGGATAACCGGAACACGAATCAACAATGTAACTGAACAAACATTAGATCAACTATGAGGCAAAAACTAGTAGAAGACAAGGTTCTGTCCCTATACAAATCTATAACCCAGCAGATTCTGACTTGTAGTGACTACTTATTTAACAGCTATAAAAGTATCTGGCACATAGCAGATATAAACGTTTGCTGAATGAATTGACAAATGAACTTATTATTTTTTAGGGTTGAGTGTTGGATAATGTATCTGTCTACCTAAATTTCAACATTTTTATTTGAGAGGCCAGGGAAAGGTCTGACTGTTTATCACATATCTGTTCAAAGGGATAAACAGAAAACATTAAATTTCTTCACCTAACTTTTTATATTTATATACTCAATAATCACTCTTAGCTGTTTATATCAGGTAAATCACTGCCTTTTCCAACCATCTACTTTTTAACTGTATCTTTCACATTATAGGCCTAAGACACTTTAGAAATGGTAAAACTGGTAACTCAAAACTTTCCACTGGCTATAACTGGATCAATGTGTAAATGAAAGGATAGTTTGTAATTCCCAAGGTTTTATATTATCACCATAAATGGTTTTTAAAAAACACTAGTAATACTTCAATAGCATATTAAATTCCTGGATGAATGTTAGTTAAAGGAAGATTCCTAAAAATGTATGAAACGTTTATCTCATTGCTCTCAAAATAATAAGCAACTGAACTGCCACTTTGTTCAGTCCCTCTAACATTCCATAACGGATGTTTATAAAAGAGTCAGAAAGAGTCCTACACCCTGAAGAGAAGAGTTCTGCTGAGAGGCAAGACTAACATATTCTTCAGGCATAAACAGTCCTGACTCAGACAAGCATATTCAAAAGTTGGCTGCCAGGAGGCCTCTGCCATGATCATGTTCAGATTCTGTACCTGCTGGTTACGGAAGATATACAAAAATGTAAGGCTATCTTACATGCATTTTCAAAGTTCGATCTAGCCTACTCTTTCTTAGCACCTATTTTTAGATAATATAGTTTAGATTTAAGAACTTACTCTATAAATCTAAACGTTTTTACCATTTAAGTAACATCTTGCTCCTTTTTTTCATTCTTTCTCACGCCTTAATCATGTCTAATGAGTACACTAGGACCCCATTATAACACTGATTTTTTTTTTTTTTTTTTTTTTTAGTCAGAGTCTCACTCCATTGCCCAGGCTGGAGTGCAGTGGCACCATCACGACTCACCACAACCTCAGCCTCCTGGACTCAGGTGATCCATCCGCCTCAGCCTCTAGAGTAGTTTGGACTTCAGGCATGTGCCACCATGCCAGGCTAATTTTTGTGATTTTTTTTTTTTTTTTCCTGTAAAGAAGGTCTCACTATATTGCCCAAGCTGGTCTCAAACTCCTGATCTCAAATGATCCTCCCACTTCAGCCTCCCAAAGTACTGGGATTACAGGTGTGACATCTTGCTGGCCCTATAACACTGATATTCAGGAACAGAATGAACGTGTATATTTGCTACAGAGTAGTAGAAAACACGACCTGATCTGTGGTAAAGTCAGCATGGTTTATTAGAATGGTCAATAGCTTAAGTCTAGCTATACCCTGAACTAGCTCTAAACCTCTGCGATTAAGTTTCTTCGTTCATAAAATGAGGAGGACTAGATAATTTCCTTCAATTCTACGATGTTTATGTGTGAGCATAATGGCAAGCCATTCTCTATCAGACTTATACTATCATATCTAAAGCCAATCTGATGTCCTATGCTTGTTTTTCACAAAATCAAGAGTCTATAGATTCATATTGCACAAATGGCTTCACTTAAAATTTAGAAATCAATACCTTTCTGCTCTTTTATGTGATTCTACAGACACGAGATGTATTTTAACCCTTCTAAGGAATATAATTTTAAAAATCAAGTCTTTTACCAAATCAAATTATAAAACTCATCAGCTAAATAAATTACTTAACCTTTTAAAAAGCTTTTATGCATAGAACAAAAATCCCTACCCAACATTTAAAGTTTTCCAACCTTAGTTCTTGTTCAGATAGGTCTCTAAACAGGATCTTTACAAGATCTTAGAATATAAAATCATGCAGTTACTTCCATGTTGCAACAAAATTATGATTTTTATTAGCTGCATAATATTCCTGAGTTTATGTACTACAGTATTTTTAATGCTTTCCTATTTTTAAGTAATTAAATTGAATTCCAACTTACCAAATACGCACAATGTTGCAGTGAACATAGTCATATACCAGTTTCTTTAGGATTATTTCCTTAGGATAATAAGCTTCCTAAGATACTAAGCTAGATAAAAGAAATTTACAAACAAATTGTCAAACTGCCTTATAAAAAGAATCTATCATAATGGCCTGCCACCCATTTGAATGTCAGTTTCATATGATGGCAGCAAAAATATTAATGGGTATAAAAATGGCACTTCCTCACTGTAGTTTTTGTATTCATGTTTTTGATAAATAACAATGTTAAACGTTGCTTTATACAACTTATTTACTTATCGATCTCTTCTGTGTTCTATTTGCCCGTTTACTTATCGGTGCCTTGGTGTTTTCATCCAGTTTTTGTTTGTTTGACCAACCCTTTCATAAAACCTGGGGTTACTTTGCTTTCTTCTGTATTTTTGGCTCACCTGTTTTTGAGATGTGCCTCCAGATCACAGCGCTGCATCACATCCTGGCACACTGAGGAAAACGGACATAAAACCAACAACTTGTCCAGCAGTTTATGGACTAGAATGCTCGACTTCTTGCACAGCTTAAAATGAAGTCTCTTCCGGTCCAGCGGACAGAAGTCTTTCTCTTGTAGAAAGTTTCGCAGGCACTTAGAGCAGAATGTGTGTCCACAGGGGGTGTCCAGTGGCTGCAGCAGGGGCTGAAGGCAAATATGGCAGACCAGGTCATCATCCACCTCATTCTGGTAGTTGTACAAGTGGTTTTCTTTCGTCCAGTGCTGCTGGCCACATTCGAAACACAGGGGGTTTAGGGACGAGGAGGAGGTCTGCTCCACAGACAACAGCTCATCGCTTGTCGTTCCCATTGTGAATCTTCTGAAGCAGCTCTTGCGTCCTCATGGGTTAGACTCCACTTCAGGTGTGGTTTCTTCTAACAGACACTGATGTGTCTGCCCAAAGCCAAGGTCCGCTTTTCTAGATAAACCAACAAACCCCAAAAAGGTATTATACCAATCGAGATAGGCCAAAGGTATCAATTTAATAAAAAACAGAGGTAAGCTGGAGCAATATATTAGCCATGATAAATGAAATTAACTAATTTACTAGTTGGCTAAGAAGAATGACTTACACTGCCAAGTTTTTGATGAAAAAGAACTTGTGATTAAAAGCAAAGACACTATATATTACATAGAAGAAATGACTAATTTATTTTACAGACTGAAATTTCCAAACAATTCACTGCTAGATGGTAATTTTAAAGCCAATTAATCTACATCATGTGCTAATCATAATGCAATTGGAGGTACATTGTGGAACACATTTGCATTTGCCATCCCGGCCATGGTTCTTTGCTTCTGATTGATTTTATGTATTTACAATACTGTTCCCACAGTTGGGTCTTTGAAATGTAGTCTCAGGATAATTGAGAGACTGTTAATAAAAATGACTTTGTTCAGCACTATGGGAAAAATACACCTGAAAATTATGTGTGATCTGAATATTCGCAATTTCCTTTCTTTTTTTTTTTTTTTTTTTTGAGTTGGAGTCTCACTCTGTCACCTCGACTGGAGTGCAGTGGCCGGCAGCCTCGACCTGCTGGGCAGCCTCGGCCTGCTGGGCTCCGGCGATCCTTCCGCCTCAGCCTTCCAAGTAGCTGCAACTACAGGCACGCGCTACCACGCCCAGCTAATTTTTTGATTTATTGTAGAGATGAGGTCTCTCCAAGTTGCCCAGGCGGGTCTCGAACCCGCGGGCTCAGGCGATCCACTCACCTCGGCCTGCCAAAGCGTGGGATTACAGGCTGAGCCACTGAGCCCGGCTGCGATCTGAATATTCTATGACATAGATTATGGCAAGATACATCTACACAGCATATATAAATAATATCTGTGCAAACTCTGCAAGTATACTATTATTCCATTAAAAGAAAAAACTGTTGGCATTCAATTAAACAGATAAGATGTATTATAAATTTCAATTTCGACTCAAGTTATTCTACATTTCCATTTGGTCTTCCTTGTTTACAACAGCTTGCTCTCTCTCTCTCTCTCTCTCTCTCTCTCTGTGTGTGTGTGTGCCTTCTCCAACACGCAACCTTTTCAACAGCCTTCTCCTGGGAGGGACTGTTCCCCTGATCTAAGGGTTTCCATCTTCCTGTTGCTGAAGCATCAGGGGTTAAAAATCAGCTCCAAAGGCAGCCGCTCTTCGAATTCCCTCTTCTGTAAATATTTACAGAGCCTCTAGAATGTGCCACACAGTGACCAGAGACAGAGGAGAGGTCGGGAGAGGATGGTTACAACCCATGATTAAGAGTCCATATAATAGGCACTCTAAGAAGGTTATGCATTTGATGTTATGTGAATGTGGAGAAAGATGAACTGGTGTCTGTTTTGGCTTTGTGGCCGGAAATACTTTCAAAAGGGGGAAAAAACATGGACTGCTGAGCTGTGACAGGAAGCGCTTAGCCAGGGAGGAAGAAATGGACTGGGGTGTCTGGGGCAAGCAACAGCTTCAGCTCAGTTGCAGGGGCTCGGGTGTGCAGTGCGTTCAGGGAGAAGCGGGTGGAACTCTGGGGCAAAGACAACCCAGGGGGACAGGGGACACAGACTCAGCCTGCCTGCGGTGAGAGCCGGAGGGGAGGACACCATTGGAGGCTGTAAGCAGTTCGTATTTCAGTAACAAAATTCGCCTCTGGTCACATATATGTATTTGCTGGCTTATTTATTTAAAGTATTTATTAGAAAAACAGCATTAAGGTTTTAACAGATTTCACAAGGACTGCTACAGATGAGGGAGGGGAGGAACTGGAATTGGGGACAGCTGGCCTGTTAGATAGCTTTTAAAAACTGCTTAGTAAAACAACAGCAACAGCAGCCGGCAGCCTGAACTCCCATCAGTGCCACCACCGAGCCAACACACACTTCTTGCTTGTCACCACTCGTGGGCTTGCTCCTCCCCCTTTGAGCATCAGAACTTCTAAAATGTCAGCACAAGGGATGTGAGACTGAGGAGGGAAGCTTCAGGAATCTCAGGAAGGCAGACTGGTTCCAGCTAGGTATTTTAATCAGAATTTCTACAGACTCCTGTTTCCTACTCAGTTAGGAAGAAAACTCACATGTCTTTTGTTCTTGTTTGTGATAGTGTTTATTCTAATTTTTCTTTTCCTCAAGAAAACATACTGTAATTCTAGCCTCCCACATAATGACTAAGAAAGCATTTATCTGAAGACTATTATACTTTAGCTATTTTCTAAATCTCTAAATAACTTCAGTTCTTTGATTATTTTCATTTTATCAAAAATTCTTTTCATGAGGAAAATTAACATGTTCCTATTTAAAATGACAACTGTATTATCTCCTCCCCCCAACACTTCTATGTTACCACGAAACAAACATTAAATGAAAATTACCAGGGGCGGATCATTACCATGTGCATATAAATATCGAATAAAGAACTAGGAGGCCGGGGAGCATAAGCAGTTAAGAGCAGAGATTCCAGATCTGTTCTGAGGGGTCAGATCCTTGCGTGGTCACTCACTAGCCTTGTGACCTTACTAAATTCTTCTATGTTGATTACCTTCTCAGATGATAATGGAGGAGAAACAGGTCTATCTCAAAGGGCCAATATAAAGAATAAGACAGATCGATCGATTGACTGATTGAGTGATTTTGCTTAAAACACTGCCTGGCAAGTCATAAGAGCAATGTAAGCATCAGCTATTATTACAGATAAAGTAACAAAAGTTCAGACAGATTTTATGATTTGCTCAAAGCCATATAATGCATATTTACTTACTAAGAAAAAAGGAAAATAAATCCAGTTCTTTCTTACTGCAAAATAACTCTATGATCAACTAAGCGATTGCAGAAAACAGGCAAAGTGTTTCTCGAAGCTTCGAAGTGTGAGTCTCATAAGGAGGAAGGGTCCTGGCCCACTTCCCAAGCCCCAACCTCACCCTCCACGCCCAGCCCCAGCAGATGCCTCTTTCCTTCTCCATGTGCAAGTCCCCTCAACCTCATACTGTTCTTGCCACAGGGGATGCGCTCTATACTTGTGAGGTGACCGACTGGGTGACAACATGCTACATCCTGGCAAATTTAGGTGACCAGAACTACATCTATTTAAATAGGAGGGTATGCCCATTTATATGTAATGTTGTTTTCAGATACCATCTATACTATCTATGAGCATGGTTTGAAATATTAAAATTAAACAAATAACAGACGCAAATAGATACCAAAATATAAAGCTAAAAATGTAGCATTTTGAGTATCTGTTAGTACTACTCCAGGAATAGTAAAGAGAAGGACTGGCCAGGATCATTACAATACATTTTTAATAATATCTTGAAAAATACCAGCACAATGGGAAGGAAGTTGTAGCACATAGTTTTTTAATACTTAATTCCTGTTATTATCAACACGCTTGCTCTTCCTGGTTTATGGGGTGAGAATTCCTGGTACATCAAAGACTCTCAGGAAGAACTATGGTTTTTCACTGTTAATTTGCATACTCCAAAGCCATATATAACTCAGATCATTTCTCTTGATGCTACTCTTGACTCAGATTTAAAGGGTCCGCACCGGCCCTAACCTAAGCAATCCAGCCCAGGGAAAAACACAGTATGAGCTAAGGGTTAACACTGAAGTATGGTGAGACAGGAAACACCTGTAGTGCCTTTGACTTGTCCATGCTGAGGGTCCAAGAATCCCTTCCCTGCCATGTCCTCCTCATTCCTTAGACTCAGCTCAGACTTTGCCTCCTCTGCCAAGTCCCATGGACCTCCTCTTCCTCTTGGGTGTACCTCCCTTCCCTGCTGCTCAGGTCACTCTTAATACACACCTTCATTGCATGTTTGCTTATCTGTCTCCTCTCCTTCTAGGGTAAAGACGGTATCTTTTGTATTCCCACTTCTTAGCATGCACTATGCACTAATATAAAAAAAAAATAGAAAGGGTTCTCAGGCTCACTCATGAGCCTGATGTAAAAATCCTGAAATGCATAACTATATTAATGTACAGGAGAAAATCTCGTGCACTTATTTGCCGCACTGCAGTTAACACATTGGGCCCAGCCCTGTAATTTACATACAAATGAATAAAGAATCAGGAATTACTCCCTTTAATCTTCAGAAGACTGAGAAAAAAAAAGTTTCCTCACTCAATGATACCAGCATGAGAAAATGTTCTTATCGTGTATGTCACAGAGCAGCTTTGATAGTTGCCTAAAGCGGTGGTTGTTGAACTTTATTGTCCACAGAATCCTTTCATCTGCTCTGGATAAGTCTGGCAGTTTCTTTAAAAACTAGCATGCAGCAAAATACAATCCAGCAATTGCACACCTGGGAACTTATCCTAGAGAAGTAAAAAGGTATGTTCACACAAAAACCTGTGCACGAATGTTTATAGCAACTTTATTTGTAATAGCCAGAAACCAGAAACAACCCAGAAGCCCTTCAACAGTTGAATGAGTAAACAAACTGTGGCATATCCATACCATGGAATACTAATCAGCCATAAAAAGGAATGAACTACTGATATACAAAATAACTTGGATGAATCTCCAGAAAAGTATGCAAGTAGAAAAAGCCAATACTAAAAAGTTGCATTCCATTTATGCAGTATTCTTGAAATGACAACATTATAGAAATGGATTAGTGGTTGCCAAGGACCAAGCAAGAGTTGGGGTGAAGAAAAGGGCAACATAAGGGGTCCTTGTGGTAGTCAGAATGTTTTATATCTTGACTGTGTCAATGGCGATATCCTGGTTGTATACTGTACTATGTTTTGCAACATACTACCATCAGGGGAAACTGAGTAAAGGGAACCTGGAATCTTTGTATTATTTCTTCTTGCAACTGTATGTGAATCTCCAATTACCCCAAAATAAAAAGTTTGATTAAAAAATTATTGAAAATCCCAAACTTTTCTTTATAGCTGTTCATATTTAATGTATGGGTGATTAAAATTTAAATATT